AGTATCTGCTAGCTGTTAGTTACATTACAGCTAACCACTGGATTTTCCCTTTTCAGTGCAACTAGTCAAATAACAAGGGGCCAAATACTGCTAGAGACAAAGACAGTCAAAGTGGACAGTATATCCTTGGTTTCTTGCAGCCTGAAACTGATCCCCTTAAACTGATTTTTAGGTTTAGTATCCTTATTTTCCTCCAAGTTATCAATTCTGTCACTAGTTAGCTAAGATAAACTAATGTAAGTGTATTTGCTGCAACCAACCAACCGACCGACCTGGTGACATAACACCCCGTGCTGAAAGAAGATGGTGCTAAACATCCTTTTAAAACTTTAAGCACTTATTTCTTAAATCCAGCTTCACAGACACTGTTACATCCCTTTCAGTTTTTGAGAGTAGGGCTCCATCCGTAAATTAGTCTTTATATGTGTCGTGTTTCATATCGTCTTTAAACACTTCTGACTGGTTTTAAAGTAAATTACTGTGAACCATCATCAACCTGCACCTTAATAGAACGGGTTTTATTTGGACCAATGGGAAAGAACAGCAGGGGTGAACACATTAAAAATAAGTTCATGTTGATCTTAATCACTTCATTTTTTTTTGTTTGCTTTTTACTTCAGCCCTAGTAGTTTTCACTGTTCCACAATGAAAACATAGTTCCCAAAAACACAGTGAGTGTTGTGATATAAAAAATTAAGAACATCTTATTGATTCTTTTAGCTATTCTAGTCCAGTAGCCAGACTTCACGTCTTTCCTTTTACTGCCAAGCAGATTCATTGTTTTCCCGTTCTCTTCCAGTTCATTTAAGACTTGTTTGAGATTAAGGGATGCCTCCATCAATTTGCTGCTGCTATCCTGTAAAAGTATAGATTTAGTTTTTTAAGAAGGAAATGAACAAGCTTGCAAATTATATACAGAAATAAATTAAGTATTCATTTACACATAACCATATCTCTAAGGAAATATATAACTTTATTTGTGGGCAGCTACAGTTTAGATTGGATGGGTTGTTACCAACATCTGCGAAGAATTTCATATCAATAATACCTTTAAAAAAAGATTTACTTAGAAAATTGGTGATGTGTTTAATATTTTACCTGCAGTACATGTATGGTGAAATGACTGCTGGTACTTTTTAAAAACTGGTTTGTTGCCATTGTGACTGGAATAATAGTTTAACTGATATGCAAACACACATTTTAACTTTCATGCAACATGACAACTTTTTATATGTTTTTTTTTCTTCTTAAAAACGTGTTAATTCTCACCTCTTTGGTCACAGATTCTGTTTCATCAGACGATGCATCATATACAGGTGCACAGTGACAACATTTCTTCATCCCTGGAATGACATATTAAACACAAAAAGCAACATAATTGAAACCATAACCAGAAATGTAAACTTGCATACATGATAGCTTTTAGATCCAAAAGTAGAATAACTGTTATGATTAAGCTCACCTGTAAAAACAGCATTTTAAGTTTTAAGTAAGGTTTTTCTCTGCTACTCACTTAGGCTTTGGTCACCATCTGTCTTGTTGTTTTGTGTAGCAGAGTCTTTATCAAGCAGATGCATCACTAAAATGCTTTCCAAGAGGCTGAGCAGCATCAGAGTAAAAACCCCAACGCAGTAAAGAGCTGAGGAGAGTAGGTTGTGTTAATGTGATTAACTAATGTCTTCCATCAAATAAACTCGTCTTCTTTACCTATAAGTGGAACCTTGTTTGAAGAGCTCGGCAGAATGTCATTGAGTATAAGCTGCATCACGGTGACAGCAAGCAGGACAGTCACCTTGAAACTGAGCTTCTCACCCCCACTATCTGAGATCAGGAAGGAGACCAAGTCCAGAATTAAGAAGAAGAGGATCGGCAGAATGAAATTGGCAATGTAGAGGACAGATCTCCTCTTCATGGTAATCTGTGAAATCATGTGTCAAGTGGTTAATCATCCTTCTACTTTGCATTAACTATTAAGGCAGGCACAAAAAGTAAATAAGGAAAAACAAGTGTGCACAGAGAAAAGATGCAAATGCAGAGAACGCTGAGTGAAAAAAATCACCTTCATGCTTATGACACTGACTTTTGTTCTGTCCTCATCACAACTTCAAATTACACTGAGAATGTTTCAGAAAGCCAGAGAAAGTATAGTATAGTATACATGGGTATAGCACCTTTATTTTGAAAATCACCAAATTCTCAATGCCCTATGACTGGCTTCCTGCCCTTCTTCAGCTTCCATAAAAAATAGACCGGATTGTAATTTAAGCCACATGAAGCGAGACTTGCTTTATGCGACACTGCTGAAATGCATTGCGGAGCGTCTAGAGGAATTGCAAATATCTTGAATGGATGTAACCAACTCCTGCAGCCACGTTGGCACCAGAACACTTTATTTCCTTCTCTTACAGACTTTCCTTGGCTGCCAGCACCCATTTGGTGCCTCTTGGTATCTCTTGCCTATGCCCCAATGTGACCCTCTGTAAATAAACCCAGCTCTTAGTCTATTTCACCAGTAACCATGATAGAACAACCCGACCAATCTCCAGGCCCAGCAGACTTGGCAACAGTCCATATACCCGTCATGGGGCCATGTTAGGTGAGTATGACCAAGTTCTCGGTGCTTTGGTCCAGCAACTAAAGCCAACTTCACAGCAGATTAGTCAAATGGATTGTACCCTGCAGGCCATTCACTCTAAGTTTACTCCCACTTTTTGTTACAATGCTCCTTGTTGGTTGAACTCCCTGCTTGAGCTTTATCAAATGATTTCCCATATGGTTGGTCTTCTTGTGGGACCAGTTGTTAGATTAGCCTTGGGCATATTTAACAACTAACCCAACATCTTGAGTTTATTTTGAAAGCTTAACCAGGCTAAACCAGGCTAAACCAGGCTATCGTTGCACCCAAAAGCGATCATCTGTCAAAACGTGATTGCCTGTATTTAATGACTTGTTGGCCTATAATATGTGAAACAAATATCAAATGTATCTCTGATGAATTATATTGATTCTTGAGCTACAAACAACATTCCTGTACTAATGTTTTGGCAGACAATCACGTTTTGGCACAATACCTTGTTTGATCACATCCTCTGTGAGGATGAGATTATTTGCCAGCTGTTTGCTCTCCATCTGGGAGAGGTTCAATAACATTAAAATACTTTTGGATTAAAAAAAATCATATAATAATCATTTTATTTGATACTGATCTAGTTGGTTTTGTAGAATTGCTGCAGTATACTATTAGAACACAATGACTTTTCTGACAATATACTTCTTCCCATAATCATTAAAGTAATAATCAGCAATAAATAAACATTTGGTACATTCAGTATCCAGTGCAGTTTTTTTTATCAACAGGGCAAAGATTACTTTGTTGGAGCTTAAGAACGCGGCAACCGAAGTAGGTGTCAGTAATCATAAATGTGGTGAAGAAACTTAGGCATTGAAAGCTGCCGGGGGAAAAAAAGCTACACAATGGATTACCTTTGTTTTCATGACAAATGAATTAAACTAGAAATATGGTTTGGCTTGATGCTGTGTGGCTGAAGTGGATAAATGTTTTCAAAATACTTACAGTGTAAACAAGCATAGATTGAAATGAGTCCAAATCACTGGTTTGGTTGTTGACTGTAATGTTGAGGAACTCCCATTCATCCTGTGTTTCTATCAAGTCTTTGGACCACCTTGTTATCACTTTATCATTTTCCAGTGTTTTCAAATTTATTTCTCGAGCTGAAGTGGGAAAATGCAGTAATCAGATCAGTAAGGAAGAAAAATATGCCGTGGTATCTGATGATGTCTATTCCTGAGACCAAGAAAAACAAAATCTGTTATGAACTCACGAGTATGTGTCATTGACTTGAAGGAGAGGTTGCAGCTCTGAATGTCAAAGGGGAATTTGTACACATTCATCTTACAGGTGCTTACTACCACATGATCATTCCTAAATGAGACGTTGCCATTTGAATAAATCGTCAGAAAAGGGTTTGTAGTAGCCCTATCCTTCTCTGTCCTGAATGAAAATGAAAAACAAATTTTTACACGAGGTATAGTGCAATTCCATAGCATCTATCATAGACCATGAGAAATGAAATTAAAGCAAAAGCAAGCAGCACATTTTATAAAAAAATTTTTTTTCTAACAGTCTCCCCCCTCTTTTTTAACACAAAGTGTAGGCACAGTTTTCATATTTTTTCCATGAAATAACAATGTTACAGCATCACCATAACTGTTGGTGGGTCTGTGAATGTGAATACATTCCGACCAAGTGACCGAGTCCTTTTTTATTCGCGGGGCGATCGTGGCTCAAGAGTTGGGAGTTTGCCTTGTAATCGGAAGGGCCGATGGTGCGATATGGCAGCCTCGCCTCTGTCAGTCTGCCCTAGGGCAGCTGTGGCTACAACTGTAGCGTGCCTACAGTTGTAGCATGTAGGCCTCCACCAGTGTGTGAATGGGTGGATGACTGGCTGTGTAAAGCGCCTTGGGGTCCCTAGGGGGGACTAGTAAAAGCACTATACAAATACAGGCCATTTACTACTTCTCTTTAATAGTTGTTTTTGTGTTTCTTGTTTTTGTTTATCTATTGTGGACTACTGCCCCCCTAGGTGGAGCTCAGAATTTTATGGACAATTGTGTTGATAAACTCATTAGGAAGGCCAGCTCTGTTCTGGGATGCACCCTGGACTCAGTGCAGGTGGTGGGAAACAGAAGGACTCTGGCCAAAATAACATCTCTGATGGATAGAGTCTCCCACCCCATGCATGTAAATGTTGCTGAACTGCAGAGCTCCTTCAGTGACAGACTGCTGCATCCTAGATGCATGAAGGAGCGTTTCCGCAGGTCCTTCCTCCCTGCAGCTGTCAGACTGTACAATCAAAACTGCTCCCAACAAACACAGATGTTTACATCAGTGCTTCTCCTGTTATAACTGCACATTACTTTTTCTCAGCCTATATATACACTAACTTATTGTAAGTTACATGTCTACTTTTTAATGCACAGGTACAATACACAATCTGCACTTTTCTAATTATTCTAAATATTCGTAACTATTTAAACATCTTTCACTATCCTGCTCTGTTTGCACACTATCTGTACGCTAATTTTAACAACTGTACTGTACTCTGCTCTGCTCTGGTAACTATTGTCCATGATGTAAATATGTAAAAATTGCATTTTCTGTCCTATGTCCTGGTCTTTTTGTATACGTGTGGGGGTTTTTTTTTTGCTGCTGATACAACCAAATTTCCCCTTGTGGGACAATTAAAGGATTATTTTATTCTATTCTCCTATTCTACATCTAAGAGTGTATGGATAGAATATAAATATTAAGCATATTAATAATAAACTTACATTTCTTCGATAATTAAATCTGGCATCCATAACAGTTCAGTAGGAATTGTTATGGATTCAAGTCCACAGAATTCCTTTGGGTTCCAAGAAATGTGCTCATTTTTCCATCTCTACACAAGGTTTTGTAAAAGAGAAGGGAGGGATGGAAGCAAGAAAAATAGATGAAATCCATATTTCAACAATAGCTTGAAATTGTGTATTTCTAATGAAAAACTTACCAAAAATACCCAAATATAAGAAATGAAGAGCTGTTCGGTTTCTTTCTGTGTGCAAAGAAACCAAGGGTGACGCTAGATTAGACTAGGTGCCTGAGTATTCCATATGCGGTCACAGAAATGGTGAAGAGGTCCCAAAAACAGACCCAAATAATTTTTATTCCAGATGGAAATAACAATTCTTTATTTACAGTGGATCTTATATCTTGCCAGCGATGCAATTAGCAAACTGTAGCTAACAAAAGTGCTGTAAAACTAGGGATGGGTACCAGTATCGGTTCTGACATAAACAGTAGTAACCAGACCAAAAAGCAGCGCACATTTTGGTGCTTTATTTCGGTCCTTTTTTTCCTGAGATGTCATGCACTTTGGATTCCAGCCAATCATTTTACCTTTGCAAGGATAGTAGGCGGGCCCAGGTACGTACGTTCTTTTAGAGCAGAGCTACAGATTAAAAATGCCCAAGGCGAAGCGGTCAAAAGTCTGGCTGTACTTCACAGCAAAACATGCAAACTCAGCAGCCTGCAACAAGTGCTTTAAGGTGATACTGTGAAACTGTGCAAAGGAGGTAACACCTCGAATCTGACGACGAACGACGAGCACATATACTGCGGGTGTGGTGCCTGTTATCGGACCCGGAGTTATCAACATCCCCCAAGAACCCGAAGAGGAGACTCCTGGCCCGTAGCCCTGCCAGTGTAGCAGAAATGATGACGGATGATGATGGCAGCAGCAGCTGTTCTTCTTTGGGGGAGTAGCTTAATGTTGTTCGTGTGTAATTTACATTGAGTAGGCTAACCACGTTATTAAATTAATGCATGTAAGGTTTAACTAGCAAACACCGTCATAGTTACATGCGGCTGTCTTGTTGTTTCAATGGCAGATACTCCCTTCACCCTGGCCAAAAAGGCTAAAATGACCAAAGAAAAAGTGGAATACGACTAAACATGAGAGGTTTTTGGACAAAGTTTGTGTTTTTTTTCATTGTTTAAGCACTGCTTCCAGCCAAGAGTGATACCATATACGCCCTATAGCTGCAGAAAAGGCTAACATTGTTATCTTTTTACACAAAACAGCCAAACATGAGAGGTTTTTGGACAAAGTTTGTGTTCTCCATTCTTTAAGCACCGGTTCGAGCACCGTTTAAGCACCGGCAACGTACTGGTTTGGCACTGGTATCGGATAAAACCTAAACGATACCCATCCTTATGTAAAACACAATACCTTTCCTTGTATAAAATACAAATTCAAAATTTGTAGGGCTCTAAAAACATAGCAATGTATATCTCTCATCATTAAACTTCAGAGTGCAAGCAGATGACCAAAACCTGAAGACAACCCACAACAGTATTAACTAATAATAATAACTATAAGTATAGAGCATTAATAATAGCAAATAACTAGAGTAAAAAATTAATGTTTGGCAGAAGGGAATGATGCTTCATGAGCAAAAATAGAAACTACTTACCATATCTAGGATCCCAAAAACTTTCATTAGATGTGATATCTCTGTAACAGTATTGTAGTTTTTCACAGGCCTTGTCAGGGTGTAGTTATCATTGCCTTTGTTCAAGTTTAGAAACTTTACAACATCGTTATAACCACAGTTTCCATTATTGTTCTCTTCTTTTTCTGAAACATCATCAAGACACTCTGATGATGATATCCATACAATTTAAGTTAAATTAAAATCAAAATGTATTTATAAAGCACATTTAAAAACAACAACAATGTCGATCAAAGTGCTTCACAAATTAAGAGCAAGAACCAACAGTGAGACAACAGCAACACAAGACAAACATAGAAGCCTGCCAAATGATAATCAACTAACTTGAGTCAAGGCCAAAGTAAATAGATGAGTCTTTAAGCAAGATTTAAAAGACTGAATAGTATCAGAAGTACGAATGGCAACAGGGAGATTATTCCATAGTCTAGGTGTAGCGATAGCAAAGGCACGATCGCCTCTGGCTTTCAGGCTAGACCTGGGTTTCATTGAGAGCATCTGATTAGAGGATCTCAGTGCTTTTTTTGGGTTACACAAATGGAGAAGTCCTGTTAAATAGCTAGGTGCCATCCAGTTTAAAATTTTATAAGTGAGTAAAATAATTTTAAAATCAATACGAAATTTCACAGGAAGCCAGTGTAAGTTAGCAAAAACTGGAGTAATATGATCATTCATTCTGGCACCTGGTTGTTCATATCCTCTATGTAACCCAACTGTATATACATAACAATGTTTATTACATATTGCTTTTTAAAACTGGCTTGTATATTTGTACATTTCATATATTTTTTCTCTGTTAATACTGTCCATATGTATGTAGTGCTGCTGAACCCCCGAGCATGTTTGCACTGAGAAGGAGATGCTCTGTCTTTCATTGTACAAGTGTATAGTGACAATAAAGGCATTCTATTCTATCTATTCTAATTGCAAACAGTTAAGAAAATAGTGTGGGAGGCCAAAATAAAATAAAGGGAGGTACAGTAGTCTAGTCTCGAAGTAATGAATGCATGAATCAGCTTCTCAAGGTCCTTAGGGGGGGGAGAAATAGCTTGGCTTTAGTAATCAACTTAATCATTACCACTCTGCACATTACCCTTCATTGTTGATAGTCATGTACAACAAAATATGGAAAATTATAAATAGAGTTTATTTTCACAAAATTTAAGTGAATCTTTGACTGAATCTGAAGTTTATTTTCAGATAGTCTGCTTAATGAATCAAAAATAAATTGGCAGAGAAAGCAAATTATTGCACATGTATTTAAAAATAGACCTGTACCTCTGTTAAAGGTCCCGTTGGATATCTGCTGATCAACATCTTGTGGCAATAAACCAGAGGCATTTCCACCTGGAATAAATAAATAGATACTGTTGCATATGATGAGTGTATATAACAACTGCATGTATGTAGAATCCCATGAAAAAGTCTTTATTTCCCATCTTATTTCTTAGTTTTTTGCACATTTGTCACACTTACTTGTTTCTGATCAGTAACCTGAATAAATAAGAAATGCATCAAGGGGAAAAAAGGTTCTCTGAACAAACCTGGTCCTATTCCAACAATATCTTACAAACAGTGAAACATGGTGGTGGTAGTGTGACAGTCTGCGGCTGCTTTGCTGCTTTATTTGTCATCATCAATAGAACCATAAATTCTCTTTTCTACCCAAAATGAGAATTTCTAGCCACCAGACTTGGACTGTGAAGTATTTGATCCAACTTCTCTGAATGGCTCAAATAATAAAATGAAGACTTGGAGTTGCATACTGCAAATCCAGACTTAAATCAGACCCCAGTGTGGTTGAATTAAAACAACTCAGCAAAGAAGAGTGAACCAAAATTCCCCCACAGTGATTGCTTGACGCTTGATTACAATTCTTGCTGCTGAGGGTGGGACAAAGGTAGGTTGTCCATAACTTACACCCCTCTTGAAATCATCATTTAAAAACTGCATTTTGTAGTTACTCTGGTTATTGTTGTGTAATGTTAATGTTGTATTTGCTTGATGATCTGAAATATATGTGTGTGACAAACAGGTTTCTCATATACATGTACTGTCTTTATGACATATATACTGTTTCTTACTATAGAAAGTACTAAATTAACAATATAAACAATAAATGTAATCTAATAATATAATCTAAATAGTCAAAAGAAGTAATGAATACATTTGTAAAACAGAAAAGCTAACTGGCTAGATGATTAATTTAAAATGCATATATTTATAATTCCTGACAACTTCTGAAGTGCTCTTTCTGTACCTGTAGTAATGGTGTCATTGGGCATCTGTTGATCATCGCGTAGCTCTACAGTGAAAGCATTTCCACCTGGCAGAAAAGAGTACAAGAACATGTCAGTTTCTTCCCCTTTATTAATGAAATCTGGATGTTTCGTTAAATAGTGATTAAAAACATACACTTCTACTGCATTAAATGTTGTAACATTTGTCATTTTAGAGTTTATAAAATATATAACTTATAGGATGAGGTAAAAAAAAAAGAAAGAAAGTAAACCCTACTCATGGAATATTTCACTTCATCACATTTCTTAATTCATTATACACAGTGCTACTTCTTGTAGCGAAATTACATGATGTAATATTACACAAATGAAGCACAAGATGATGCCACGCCCCCCATAACATTATATATATATTTCTATACAATTCTAGATGCCCCCACTTACCAAACTCATACTTCTAATAGGGTTTACTATTGTGTTACTGGTGATGAATTTATACCTTGAATTCATTCAAATGTACGCAATTTTTAACTGACCTTTGTCAGGCAGTGGAAATATTGGCTGCAATATTGGCTGCAATATATAATATACCCCATGAATTCTCTTAACTCCAGCCAGACCTGGCTGTTGAACAGGCCAAGGAAGATATAGCTTTACACAGTTATTCTTTTTGGACCTTTATAGTTTGTATTTCACTTAATGATTCATTTAATTTCCATTTGCGTTATACAGGGTGGGCCATTTATATGGATACTATGGATATACTATGGATACACCATAGTAAAATGGGAATGATTGGTGATATTAAAGTCCTGTTTGTGGCACATTAGTATATGTGAGGGGGCAAACTCCTCAAGATGGGTGGTGACCATAGTTGCCATTTAGAAGTTTTCAATAGGAAGAGGGCCATGTGACACATCAAACTTATTG